GACTGCAGGTTTACTTGCGGTTCCTATAGTTTCCAAAAGCAGAATGGGAGGAAGATCTTCCAGTTATCAGGCTCCTCTCTTGTGGAACCAACTTCCAGTTTCTGTCCATAAGGCTGACACATTGTCCAGTTTTAAGACTTAAAACTTTCCTTTTTGATAAATCCTATAGTTAGGGTTGGCTTGTTATGCTGCTATAGGATTAGACTACTGGAGGACAAATTTATCTAATTTCTTTAAATGAATTGTTAAAATTAAATAGTTTTCATTTGATATTATTTCTATCTTAACATGTGATTCTTGGCCTGCCATTGTGTATCTGTTCCTACCAAACCCAGCTGGTCGAAGCAGATGACCGCTTGTCCTGATCCTGGTTCTGCTAAAAGTTTCTTCCTCATGTTTTTTTCTTTCCACTGTCGCCTTCATGCTCGCTCAAGATGAGAGCTCTGTGATGGAGTTAAATACAAAGCAGCCTGCTCCTCAGATAAATAATGTTAACTTGTTTTTTTTTATGTATATGAATGTTTCTGTTCAGAGCTCTGAGATAACTTCTGTTGTGACTTGGTGCTATAGAAATAAACTGAATTGAATTGTGGCTAAGGAGAGGAGCTGGTGAAGACCTGCAATAATGAGAACAGATTTCAGAACCACTTAAAAACTAATTCACTCTTACGTCCTTGTTTTGTTTTTATTTTATTTTTATTTTTTTTGCTCACTTTCAGTTTTAAGTGTTACATACGTTGTTAAAACAACTTTAATAACTTGCATCTACTTTATGATTATTTTTCATAAACCGTTTTTTAAGTGAACACTTTTGAAAGACTAGCACGTTAATTTACAATCAGCTTTAGGTTTTGCATCAAAACCTGGCAAGGAGTCCGCATTCCCTTTCTTTTTTATTTAAATTTTCTTTTCTCTTTTAGTGAGAAGGAAGTATCTTTGAACAACAACATAAACCACCACCTTACCAGACAGAAGCCTGCAAGCTTGCTGAATTAGAAATGATCCGGTGTAATGCTGGTTTTGGTTGTTATACATTTAATATTTATTGACCTGGATTTTTGGTCAAAATACTGAGATAGCAAAATGTTCCAATGATCATTTTCAAGCCAAATGTTGAAGAGTCTTTCAGAACCAAACATAACCACGATACTCTCATCAGTGTGTGTTTCGAAGCACAGTTGTACAATTTTGTACCAAGTATCTTTGTATGAATGTTTGAGTGAGAGATGATTGTTGCTTGTGCTGCAAGCACCTAAAAAATATCATATAAAAGCTAAATATACAAGTTGTTTTAAATATGTGCCGGCCCTGTAAAATAAAAAAATTAAAATGCATTCCTAACAAGTTTTTAATTTACAGATTTTGTTCTGATGATCATAAGAGGGCTCCTTCTAAATAGAAGTCTGATAAAATAAGCCATTTGTTTAATCATTTTTCTTTTTACATTTTGATAAAGTATTTCAACTTGCCGGGGTCCCCCCCCCCCCCACCCACCCAACCAGTTTATAAGTTATTTCAGTGTAACTCTGCACAAATGTTGAAAATGACTAAACTAGATGGTTCACTTGACAATTCTCCCAAATCTGTGAAGTAAATTTCAACCATATAAACGAAACCCACGTTTTATCATAAATGTCTTATTTTAATTCGTAACAACTGGCAAACATATTCATTTTTCTTTTTTTTTTTTTTTCATTTAGCCTTTATTTATCCAGGTTAGTCTCATTGAGCCACGAGAACTCATTTTCAAGAGAGACCTGTTTAGGGAGCACATGGTGGGGTTAAGGGCCTTGCTCATGGGCCCAGAGTGGGGCGAATGAGGATGGGGCAAGTGTGGGTGTTTCACCTACCCCACCCACAATTTTTGATGTTGTCGGGGCCGGGGCGTGAACCGGCGATCTTCGGATCACAAGCCCACCTCTCTAACCTCTGCGCCACCACTCCCCATAATTCATAATTCATAATTATTAAGCGATTTCAGCTTATCTAACTAAAACAAACCATCAAAAATAGCTTCAGACCCATTTGAGGTTAGCTCTATGGCTGTAAAGTTAGTGAGCAGAAGCACAATTAGCTGATGGTGAAGTCATAGTTACAGAATTTGGATTTAGTGTACTGAATTTTCTATTGTTTGTTATTATTAGTGTTCATAATCAAAATGTAGACACGGTGCAAGCTATGTTTTTTTTTTTCTTTCCTTCACAACATGTACCGTACATTGTTGTGCATTTTAATTATGTTTAATCATAAGCCAACATAAGCTGATGTGTTTAAAAGAATTCTCTGCAAAGATGTTTAAGTAAGCCTCCAACATTCAAGAGGAAACACAAGAAGCCATTAGCTTTTTTTACTACCCGCATCAGAAAGGTGAAACCCTTGAAGCTGATAAAGATGCAGCCCCTGTCTCGCTGGTTTTATTGCCTGTTAACATGCAACACCCTACTTTTTTTTTTTTATTTACCCCCCCTCAAAAAAAATACATTCAACTTGCTTTTTCCTGATCATGTGATCAGATATGCAGGATGAGGCTTGTGGAGGCAGCCCATGCATTATTTAAATGGAAATAATGTGACCTTACTAATAAATCTAAGCATTTCATAAAGCTGATGTCTATGCAACATCTGCTGTTTAAATCCACCTCAACTGTTGTGCTAAATAAGCAAAAAAAAACACCATCAGAAGCTGAATCTGGACCTTTGACTTTTCTGTCAGAACCTGTATGTTCACCCTGTCAGATGCCCAAGTGACTTTTAAGAGCTTAAATCGAGTGAAGAGCTTCCACAAAGCAGCTTAATGGCAGCATCATAACAAGCAGGGAAACGTACAGACCTGTGTAAACTTCTGAGGATCTGTAAGCACCAGCTCTTAATTTGAAGGAGGTGCAGGGCCAGGTGGCTGAATCACAGAGCTGTTTATTTCTGCAAACTGCTTTGGGAATGCGGTCCTGCGAGCAGCTCCAGCTCTTTTCATGTTTGCCTTTACTGCATGGCCCATGCAATTCGCCTGCCTGTTATGAACATGAGGTAAACAAAACATTAGGTCGTCATAAATCACTGGCCAATGACATGTCTGGAAGTGAGATTAGACATATAGTGGAGCAGGAGAACACAAGGAAGCTGCCTCCCTCCTCAGGCTCCTCCTCTCCTCCTTGGTCCCAAAGTGTAAGATCATTATTAAAATTGCAGCTCAATTAAGATAAGGCTAAATGACTTTCTCTGTCTCCCTCTTTGATGTACAGGGGATTTTTCTTCTTTCCAAAGCTGAAAACAGGGCAGTTTACAAAAGAGCAAAGGGGGGGAGACAACTGCTCAGAGTATACTCTTTGATGTTTCATTGCACAGGATTTGGGTTTGATTGGAAACGTGTGTGATCATTTTTTTTGCTAAGATTATTTTCGGACAAATCTCTGTTTTTTAAGTGAACGCTACATCTCATTTGCTTCATTGCAATGGCCATTTTAGCCTCTTATAAACTGCTCGTTCGGGGCTGACACAGGTCTTTTTATAGGGTTCAGCAGATTTCCTTACAGTTCACATAGTTTGGACAAAATTATCAATAATTTCTCTATATATTGCAACAGATTAAATGTTAAAAGATCTGATTGCCACTGGTAACTATGCAATTATAAATATAGGAACTCTAAACGTTTTTAAATGTTTGAATAAAATGCTCATCATAAATGCCGCTCAGTGAAGAAAGTACTGTTTCTCTGGAACTCATTCAAGCAGTTCGCTTCTCCTTCTATTGTTCATCCTTGTTCTCTTTGTCCCAAAGTTCACGTATTTGCCTGACTTCTCACTGTAAACACAAGGGCAGAGACTTCAGAGGCCCACGGACTGGGGATGTTTATATGAGCAGAGAGCAAGGGAGATGGAACCGAGATATGAGTGCTGATCTGTGAAAGGAACCGCTGCTGGATTGCCGCTGCTGCTCGCCATCACACAAACATCTGGCTGCTTCAGGACGCACAGAAACAACCTCACACCTGCACACGGACCACAGCTGATGTAGAAACTCATCCCAGCCTGAAATGAGCTCTTTGTGGAAAGTTTTAAGAAGCACTATGTTTTCTTGAACATTAAGAGGTTTCTCTCCTGTTCTCCTTTTAAACCCACTATAAGTTTTATCACCTCTGCGAACCGTTCAAAACTTTGTTTACAACGTCGTCATGTATGGAAAGCAAAACAGAGAATAAATGTAAAGATCTGAAGATATCTTGCTGACAAAAGCGACATCCAAAGGAAAGGTTTGCCTCTCAGAGGTCAGAGGAGTTGGTCACTTGTGACACGTTCTGAAATCTCTGCAGGACTTTTTATACATATATTAAGAATTTGTTTCTGGCTGTTGATGCTTCAGGCTGCAGGAAATGTGTTGTGATGTGAAAAGGCTCCATTCTGTTTTGAACAAACTCAGAATCAGTTGAGAATTGCATTTTTTTTTTTTAAATCAACATTTGAAGCATTCGGCTGGCGTTATTCCTCAAAGCAGTTTGTTTTCCTTGCCCGTGTCTCACCTCGTACATTTTTCTGCGTAGGACTTCTCCTTCTCATTATATAACGTGCGCTGAAGGGTGTTGTAGGATGAGTGTGTGGGTCTGGAGTGTGGGGGGTGCGTTGCTTAAGGAAGAGATTCCTGGTGAGGAGTGAACAAATGTAAACTGAATTAATAAAATCTGAGGAAGATCAATGGATGTTCTCTGCCCTAATAGATAAACCTAAATACATCTGATTATTACCAGGATCATTTGTTTAAAAAAAATTATAACCCAATCCGCTGATGTATGTTATTTTTTTAATCAATTTCTGAATTGTTTTTGTTTCATCTCAGTATTCAGGGAGCGGCATTGAATTACACTCAAATCATTTTAATTTCATAAACTTTACTCACTCAAGGACAGAGAGCAGTTTACGGCTTTTAAATGCAGGAGACTCACTTGTCGTCCTTGCTCTCTCTCTCTCACACACACACACACACACACACACACACACACACTTCCCCTATTAAAATCAAGTTTCAATTTTCATTGGAGTTCCATCATTCTTTGAATATAAGAAAATGCATGAACGTCTCTCTTTCTGGTCTGTGTCTCGTTTTTCTTCCATCTTCTGTTTCTTCCAAGGTCAGCTTATCTCCGCTGGTTTGAAAGATGAGAGAAACAGAGATGAAGTCTACAACCAACTTTTACCTTCATCGCTTTTGTTCATGAATTAGCATTTCATCTTTAACAATGGATGATCTTTTCTCTGTTCTGTTATTTTCTTCTCAGTAAATTGTCCCTCTTCAAACTGCCTTTGAATAATTTAGTTTCGCTCACTGCTTTTACAATCATTTATAATGCTTTTCTCTATTTGCTGCGTGCATTTTATTGCAAAATATCAGTGTAAACAGACAAAATGTTTTGTGCAAAGCTAACAGAGGAGCAGAAAATGACTCGGCCTTGACTTAAATTTTAAATCTCCTGTGAAGAAAGCTTATGAAAAGTGGCTGTTTGCACCAGAGAGGCCTGCTGGCCCAGTGGCGGCTCCATATATGAGATGTGACCCTCGAAAGACACAGACAACTGCTGCTGCGGCTCAAATAGCAGGAGCTGAGCTGCTCTGACGCGACACAGAGTTCAAGTTTGTTCAGTCTGCTCTGCTCCTATAGAGAATCAGCTCCTCCCAGAAAGTTTGGACTTCACACAGTCAACTGTTTATGCACTTATCAGATCTGTGTTTCTTTTTTCAAATGCTTTGTCTTTTTCATGAAGCGCAAACTGTTTGCCAGACAATGAACCTCTAAAACACTGTTTGTTCCACTTTAAAATCTCACGTTATTAATGATTTAGTCATATGGATTCAACACACCATTTGCTGCATAAACTACCCCATCTTATTTCATCAAACGCCCCATGCACTGCTCAAAATGTACCACCTTTCCTTCAGAATATTTTTTCTTTTTTAATGAAAGAAATAAAAGTGATTTTTATTGTTCTTTGTTTAATATTTCAAATTGAACCCAGTTTGACATTAAATTGCTGTATATTATATCTCAGTTGTATAATTGGAGCGTTTATGTAAAATGTTCTATAATTAGAAACGGTGGGCTGCAGAAAAAAGCAGGTTTTTATGCGACTTGAAGGCGACTCTGTTCCTGTTGGAGGCGTCTCGCCAAAGCTGCCGGGTTATTCTCAGGTCGGTTTGAATTCACAGAACCCCCCCATTGTCCCTCCATGCAGGTCTGCATCACTTTGTTACATCTGGTTCAAAAATGCCTCTTTCCCTTCACTTCTGACGCTTTAATAAGGCCATGACAATAATTCTTTGGTAACTTTTTTTGGGGGGGGATTCCTCATAATTAAACGTTGAGAGCAGGAGGCTGCACCCCCCCCCCCACTCCACCCCACCTCTCTCTCTCTGATGGACAAGTGTTGGACCTCCAGTCTTTCACTCGGTTGGCCCTGCACATCAGAGCAGACAGAATGTGCGTCTAGGAGCTCCTAATTGGAAGCAGATGGCGCTCGGAGCGACGGAGAGCTGAAACGCAGCATTTTCCACCCTGAGCTGCGGTCACTGAGCCATGCAGGTGCACGCAGTCTGCAGGGACCCACCGAACCTTTTGCTTCGTTTATACTCTCTGAAAACCCAACAGAACAAACACGGGCTTGTTTAGAAGTGTGCTCTCATAAAACCTCTGTCTCACTGACGCATCTTGGAGCTTAGACAGGAACGGTTAAATGTGCAAAGTTGAATTAATTAAAAGTTTCAAACGAGGCAGACAAATTAGAACAAGTCCGTCTGCTTTACTCTGCAATGAAATAAAAACCACGTGTTTGTTGTTCACCTATACAATCTCTTTATTTCCTGCAATATTTCGCACATAAAACATGAAATTCGAGCTTTGTAACGTTTGTTTCTTGCTTTGGTGGAAAACTGGGTGCAACACAAGCAACGTGCAGCCGTGCGCTTTCACTAAAAGTCGATTTAAAAATGATATTTGTAGCACAGTTTAATGATGAAGTTGCTAATAAGCATCATGGTCGTGCGCATTTCTTATGAGGCGCAGTCCACCCGCCGCGCTGAGGTACAATATATTTAATTGGATATTATCGTTTGTTATAATTAGTTTATTTCTAAGAGTATTATTTAAAGTGGTTAAAAAATCAAAAGCTTTGTCTTTAAGACTCTTATCAGTTTATAAACGTGTAAGAGTTTATCATCTAACAGTAGAACAGGCCCGTTTGTCTCTGCCATTTGACCCAAAGCAGCGAGGGAAGTCCTGAGTTTTCAGAAATATAGATTTGGGAGGAAGATGCAAAAGAAAACTCCGCTCTCGGATACAACGAGCCGGCTGGCCCCCCCCCCCCCCCTCCCCCCAGTTTAAAATTAAAATGAGCCTCGAGCGACCATCGGATGTGTTTCCTTGTTGGAAAGGACTATCCTCGTCATCTTCAAGTGTGTGCATGTGCATGTGGGGGGGGGAGGGGTTGAGGGGAGGTGGAAGCATCACAAACAGCACAATTAATTAGCAGCTCCTCCTTGAAAAGGTAAATGAAAGTGAAATACATTTTTTCGGGGTTTTTGTGTGTGTGTTTTTTTTCCTTGTGGCATGCACAGATTAAATCCTGGGGGTGGAGGGTGTGTGTGGGGGTGGGGGGGGGGGGGGGGGGGGTATGGCCTCCGTATATATGTCAAATCCCTCATGTGATCATATTTACAACTTTTAAAACGCGTAAAATAAACTTTGCCCTCACGCTCCTCTGAGTGTGTGTGCGTGTGTGTGTCCAGTTGTATTGTTGATGGAGCTCTGGCGGCCGACATCCTCCTCGTTGACCCCCCCACCCCCACCCCGTCTCCCTCTCTCTGCCTTTTCCGTCCCATGAAAAACGATTCCAGCGCTCTGATTGAATTTTATTCCTTCCTGACCTGGTCCGTTCTGCGAGAGCGCCATCAATCTTTGGACTAACACGACATTTGTTTATTGGGCCTGCACTTGAGAAAAGATCTAATGGCTTGTATCAGGCCGATTGTGGAGCAATCGGAGATAATGCGCGCGAGAAGGATTTGGGGACACAAAGCGCAAGTGAGGATGTTAAAGAGTAAAACTCAAAAGACAGAACAATTAAAACACGCTTAAACCATGCGTCCTAAAAAAAGCTTCTATTTCAAGCTTGTTGGTTTAAATCTCACTTTAATCTTGCTATATAGAAACTGTTTGTATGAGTGTTGGGTTTTTTCGTGTTGTGTGTGTGTGTGTGTGGGGGGGGGGTGGGGGTCTGACATGGTGCCACCACTTTCAAACTTACAGACTTGAACAGAAAATGGTTGCGCGTGAGTGGACAAACCAAAAAAAAACACGTTTTGCAAATCTTAAAAAAAAAAATCATAATATTTTAATTAGATGCAATGATGAGCAAGTTGATTTTTATTCATATTTTGTTTTGATAAAAAAAAACTAATGCGTCTTTCATACTTTGAAATTAGTATTCTGATTTTATTTATTATTTTAGTGCCAAACTCATGACCATTTGTGACTACTATAAATATATATATATATATATATATATATATATATATATATATTAACATTATTACTATTATCATTATTACTATTATTATCATTATCATTATAGTGTAACTCGTGCGTAAATTACGCACGTGATGAAACGCAATGAAAACTGAATTTTTGCTTTATGCAAATACAGTTTGAATTAAATGTATCAACTAAAAGCTTAATTGAATTAACATTAAAAAATTAAATTAACTGCTGATAATTGGATTAAAGCAGCAGGTGTGCATTTTCAGAAACTGAAAGGCTATTTAGAATTTAAAGACGTATATTTGGGGATTTAAAAAAAACAATAATTTATTTTCAGTGATGCATCTAAATGAAATTCTTAAAAACTCTAAAGTGTAATTTAAGCATTTCTGTTATAGGATTACAATTAAATAAATTTTTGGACTTCTCCAATCAGCTCATCCTTTTACTGTTAAATGTCCAAGAGAAAGTCTAGCATTCACATAATGGCGATATTCCCCCCCTTCAGGGTCAGCTTCATGTCAGAACAGAGAGAACTTCAAACATCAGACCTGACGGGAATATGTTTGGCATGCGCGCTGTGATATTAGTGGTGCGCGCGCCAGCAAACACACAGCCCGGTCCAAAACAAAGCTGCGCTGTTTGCAGTCCGTGTCTCTGCGGCCTCTAAAGGCTCAGCTTGATTTCATGTAATAAAAATGAAAATGAAAACCTACATTAATAAACACTTTGCACATTAAGATAAATCAGACAGAAACAAACAGCATGAACAAACGCATTAAATCATTTTAGAGACGCTCAAACCTATATATATATATATATATATATATATATAACTTTTTTAATTAAATAAAAATAAAAAACCCAAAATGTTACTCCAATATTTAGACTTTTCTACTTTAAAAAAAAAAAAAACTTTCACTTTCAAAAACTTAATTGCAACACAAACTAAATCCTAGATTCGAGTCTGTAAGAAATGAGGCGCAACTAACTCATAAAATGGCGATTTATTAAACATACACACAAATCCTTCAGAATAGTTTTCAACATCATGAACACAGTCTTTAAATGTTGTACACGTTCCCTTTGATACAAGCTTTGTTGTGGTGGTGGGAGGGGGACAATCAAGGGAATTCAATTTAGTAACACTTGTTTGTTGTTGGGGGGGTGTTTGGTCCATATATATATATAAACCCGCCACAGTTTAGAAATAAATTACTATATATGCAATTTACACGTCTAAGGAAAAGTGACACATTATCATGAAAAGGCACAAAAGCTAAAAGAGAGAGAGAGCGAGAGAGGAAGAGACTTACTGTTATCTGGAGTAACACTGTTCTTTAACAAACAACATCAAGTCTTTTGGTTCATATGAGTCAAGAAGGAGTTTTCATGTCAGAGTTCATCGGGGTCAAATACAAATCTTTTGTCTTTGTTCGTGTGTCTCTCTCTTTGGTCAGAACTTGCTGCAGTCATACACGAAAGCTCCAGATGTGCGATAGAGGGACTGACCCGCTGGGAAGGACATCTGACAGCTGTTATTCCCATTCACCGGGGAGCTGTTCAAGCCAATCCTTTGGGATTCAAACATCTCTCGGACTGAGTGGAAGTTCTGCTGCTGCGCCGGGTAGGTGGCGCCCAGATGGCCCAGGTCTCCGGCCTGGTTCAGGTACCACGAGGCCAGCCTGCCTTGGTGGCTGTGGTGGCTCTCCTGGCCGGAGTTCAGATTGTGGCCCAGCGAGGACGAGGTTGTGGTGACGGAGTAATCTGGCAGCGTGTCGTCCACGGTGCTCGGTGCCAGGTGGCCTGGCCGGTCCCCCGTGTACAGGCTCATGGCCTGCATGTTACAATGATAGGTGGTGTTGGAGGTAGAGATGGAGTTTTGGTTGCAGGGTGAGCTGTAGGCTGATGTCTGGCTGGGAGAATAGTTTAGGGACAAAGATGGTGTTATACCTGTCCTGGTGGAGGCGCTGAGGCCGGGGGTGAGCTCGGTGACCCCCTGCGGGGACCCCCGGAGGGAGGTCATGATGTTGTCCACGCTAAAGCCCTGCGTGGAGACCTGGCCGTGGTGCTGGTGGTGCTCGGAGGTGTCCATGCCGGGGATGGACCTGCTGGAGGGGATGCTGTGGGGGCTGCCGCTGGACATGCTGCTGCTGCTGTCCGGGCTCTCGATTTTGGGCACGGTGCTCAGGGAGGGCGAGTCGGCCTGCGGCGGGGTGACGGTCCCGTTCTCAGTTTTAATATCCTGGACCCGGACGGGCTGGGAGCCCTGCACGGTCTGCTCCGGCTCCCCGCGGCCCTGCTGCCGCGGCGGCAGCTCCTTCTGCAGCCGCTCCTCCTTCTCCTTCAGCGCGTCCTTCTTCTTGAACCTCCGCCGCCTCCTCAGGAAGCTCCCGTTCTCGAACATGTTGTAAGAGTCCGGGTCTAGGGTCCAGTAGCTGCCTTTGCCGGGCTTTTTATCGTCGCGCGGCACCTTGACGAAGCACTCATTGAGGGACAGGTTGTGCCTGATGCTGTTCTGCCAGCCCTGCTTGTTGTCTCGGTAAAATGGAAACCTCTCCATGATGAACTGGTAAATCCCATTCAGGGTCACCTTCTTGTCCGACGAGTTCTGGATGGCCATGGTGATGAGCGCAATGTAGCTGTAGGGGGGTTTCACCATGTCCTTGGGCTGAGGCTGGGGGGTGTAGGGTCCGTACGCCCGAGCCATGCTGGCCGGGTACTGGTCATGAGCCGCGTGAGAGTACATGTTCATAGGTGTTGGCATCCCCGTGTAGCCCCCTCCGGCTGCCGCCCGGTAGTATCCCGGGTCGCTGCTGATGTAGGGCACGACGCCCAGTGAGTTGGGACTGGAGACGGAGTAGCGAGCCTGCATGTTGAGGATAAAGCTCCAAAATATCCACCAAAAATCAGCTCAACTTCTCCCTCCTCTGAGAGCTGCTGTGCGTAAAAGACAAAAAAAATCACAGTTCCTTGTTGCAAAGGTGGGAATTCAGAGAAAAGAGCAGCTTAAGCCGTCCCCATCCTCCAGTCCGCACGACACGCGCATTGAAAAAGTTCTGAACTTTGGACACCCGTCACCACACAGGACTTTTGCGCAGTTAAATTCTTTCCTCTGTTCCCCCCACCCCTCTAGCAGCGAAGCCCCGCCTCCCCCCAACCACAGTGTGCCGGTCGTCCAATGGGAAGTGAGTCCGAGCAGAGCCCACACTCGTGGATTTGAAAGAAAAGCTTCAGGAGGTGTCAGCCGGGTCCACGAGACATGTGTCCGATCATGGATGCACATTCCTGCAAAGTGCATCTCTGCGTAACTTTAAAGC